CTGTCCTTCAATAGGAATGCTAAAGTGCTCGTTTCGTCTTTGAGGTTAACTGCTGTGCCAGTACGTCGTTACGGTTTAGAGGTTTCCGGTACCGGAGAGGCTATTACTCACACCGGACAGGTAGGCTAATGGCTGTTTATTTTATAACCGATATCCTAGCTAAATGCTAATCTTAGCCTAGCATCGGCGGTACCAACAGCTCCATTAACCTTTTTCGCGATTTGACATTTGTGTCAACATTCGACTCTTTGTTGAAAACGCTAAATAGGTCAAATAAAATTAATTTTAAATAAGGTATGCTTTTGTTTTCTTTCAGGTGTTTGATGAAAGCGACCCAAGGAGAGCCAGGTTCGTCGGTAGAAAGAAAGAGGTGAGAAGAAAATATTTGAAAATGGAGCCAAAAGTTTCAGTCTCCTGAAACTTTTAATGTCTTGTCTTGACATAAAGTTTTATAAAAACACGACTGCAGTTTGCTTAGGTCACGTGACCTCCATATTTATCTATCTATCTATCTATCTATCTATCTATCTATCTATCTATCTATCTATCTATCTATCTATATATATGTTTTTTTTTGTTGCTACATTTAAAACGAGCAGATACGAGCTGTTTGAACACAATCTGAGGATTATAATACAAAGAGGGGTGACCAACTACAGCCCATTAACATTAGGAAACAAACAGGTGATCCGCAGTTAGGCGGAGGTTGTGTCATCATGTGGGCCAGTTTTGGTTCTGTAAGATGTTTGTAGATATGTTGAAACCTGATGAAATAACACAGAAATGCCTTGTTCAGTGGCATATTCAGTTTCAGGACAATTCACATTATTTCAACACTTTTACGGCGGTTATTGTTGTTGATATGTTTTTGTTTTTGATCACTTTCTGTTTTATTAAGGTGAATGAGAACTTTGCCATTAAGCTAGTGGCTGAAGAGCCCGTCACGGATGCCGAGGCCCGTATTGTGTCCTGTGATGGAGGTGGAGGAGCTCTTGGACATCCCAAAGTCTACATCAACTTGGTAATAGGACATCAAAAATTTACAGTAACTTAAAAAATAGCACATGTTCAGGAGGGCTGTGTAGCTGGTAGTGTGCAGGGGTTGAGGAATGTCCATTCCTTTTTCTATATCTGCTTATCCATGAAGGGTTTGTGTATTTATATTAAAGAATATACATTTGGTATAAATAAAAACCTTTAGAAATCACAGGTTACAGACTCACTAAGATGTTAAATTCATGGCAAAATACGGTGAAGTGCTGGCTCAAATAATTATTCCAATTCAACAAACTTTATTAGTCGCCATGGGAGAATTTAAAGAGGAAGATTATGTTTTTTGTGACATAAATGTGAATACAGTTTTGTGACTTCAGTCACTGCCATAAGTCATTATTTTTCCAATGCAAGAATCCTTTTTAAGTCATTCAAATGGCATTGAATGTGTACCCATGTATTTTATTTATTCTTTTTTTATCAACAGTGAGTGTACAGCTCATGAATAATCCTCTGGGACACTTAATGTTTAGTTTCCATTGGCTAGATGGGGGGGAAGAGTCCATTTGACATGTTTTTTAAGCTTATTGTTATTATACTTAATCCGTTCCATAAACAATGTGCACATTTTAAAGCTGCTTGGTAGGTTTTAGAACTCATTTTAGAACCAGTTTCTCCAGAACAGCATCATTTATCACCATGGATGTCGTTTATCTGAGCGGGAATCTGCATACGTGAACCTCAGCTTAGTGTCCAAAGAGGTTTACTTCACAGCTTTTCTGTACATCTACAAATGTGTCTTAGGATACTAGAGGAAGTCTCCTCTCCAGTGTATATTCAACAGAAATACATCACAGCTATTATTTTTGTCTCCTTGCAGGATAAAGACACAAAAGTGGGCACGTGTGGCTACTGTGGGCTGCAGTTCAAGCAGAAGCATCATCACTGAAACATTTCCTCTGTCTCTGCTTCTCTGTATAAATAGCCATATTGGTTAATAAATTATGTCTGCTTGGGAGTGCCTGTTTCCTTAAGAACAACAAAAATCAAACCAAACACAGAAACAACAGCGTTTGCTCAATGCTGGCTTTTCTATAAATGATCCCGAACACTACAGTATAGCAGTCATACTGATACTGTGTAGTTTGTGTGTAATTCCCACCTCATGGGATGCAGTTCCTGCCTGTGACAGAGAGAGGGCAGCACTATCCTGCAAATACCCAAAAGACAGACAGCTAATCTTTCTGTTGTTTGCCTTTAAGAATCTAACCA